CCGCACCTTTGGAAAAGACCGCAAGTTATTATACAGTGCGTTTCATAATTATAAGGTCACCCTAAAATATTGCATTTCCGGAACCAGCAGCCAACTGGTGATTTTTCCACTATCACCAAATGATTCCCCACTACGAATAACCCCTGTATCGCAATTTTGGCGGAGCAGCTTTTCTTCGAACTTTTTTATAATTATTTTTCGATTTTTGCACCGTTTCATAATATAAGGTCACCCTGAGAAAAAGAACAATTACCTAAGATTAATGACAGATAAAAAGACATAATAATCTATGGTTCCTCCTTTATCAAGGGCAACATTGAATAGCCTCCGTGGCCTACTGGAATTTTTTTGAGAGATTCCAAGGACAGATGACCATCGATTTACTTCCGTGCTTCACCGGTTGCTTATTTCAGCTCTTTTAAAATTCCTAACTAGCGTTTACCTACATGATTCTGTCGAAGATGTCCCTGAGACATCCTAATGAAATATGACTGGAACTTCGGAATAATCTTTTCAGTTCATCAGTTTCGAGAGAAATGCTGCTTCTGGTTGAATGACCTACATGGGTACCTGTGCTGTTCTGTATGACTACGTAGGCTAGCCGACTTCATCAGCTCAAGGGAGGTCAGATGTCCTTGCAAGGCTCTATGCTAATCTTTGGAGTTCATTATGCAGTTCCATGGAAGCGAAATTTCAACACATCATCATTGCAAGGAACACCCCACCTTTCACATGTCCTTGGTTAAGATTGTAAACGCTGATGTGACTCGGCCACCTTGGCCAGTCACTGCAAAGTGTTCATTTCCGCAGGAACTGTCTATTTAATCCACTTTATTCGAAAAATACCAACCTGACTGAAATTGTCTAGCCGTGAGTGCGACTGCAGCGCAGGCTAACTTGGTTCAATCTCTCCCTTAGTTCAACTTTACGGGATGAAGTTGCGCCTCCTCGAAATGGCCAACAAGAATTTGAATTATCTCCTTGCCTTTGTAACAGTGTCGCTGCATCTCACCGCTCTCCAGTTCATATTTTTTAAGATAGAAACATTAAATTACGCGCGACGCTTTCAAGAGGAAATACTGTTTGAGACAGCCCTCATAACTCTTCTCTAATCATTTATAGAAACCTTTTTGTGGATGTTCGAAATTTGTAGAATATCTGGAGACGTAGAAGCTTTTCAATTATCCATGAGCAGAGCTAAGGACTTTCCGAAATGCTTTGGAAAGACTCCCGAACCGTGCCAAGCACCATGAAATGCATAAACTTTACCTTTCTTCAAAAGGACGAGTACGAAACATTCCATAAATTTAGCTAATGGATGTGTTTGTAACAAACATTCAATTTCACAGGCAGGTTGGTTGTTTCTGATAATGTAGTATTCATTTTCACAGGGTGACCTTATAATTATGAAACGGTGCAAAAACCGAAAATAATTATAAAAAAGTTAAAGAAAAGCTGCTCCCGCCAAAATTACGATCCAGGGGTTTTTCATAGTGAGGAACCAGCTGGTAATACTAGAAAAATTACCAGTTGCTGCTTGTTCGGAAATGCAAAATTTTTGGGTGACCTTATAGTTATGAAACGCACTGTATTATCCTTCCTTTCCTTCCTCTCTGTACGATCTTCTGTAAACGACTAAAGTGGAGATTTGCCATTGATAGACGATATCTCCAATTTACTACCATAGGTTTTGGGTGTGTTGCGAGTAATTGAACACTGTTTTCAATCAATATCCATAGGTTTTCTTGGTCATTCCTTTTCCTGAGAGCACTCAGCATCATCGTGGTGGTACTACTCCGCTCTCACACGATTTAGTTGAAATCTAGTCTTCCTCAAAAGAAAAAGTATGCAGCGCGGGAATTGAATCTAAAGATCCGAAGGAGATGACGAAGTTATGAGGGCAGACTTACATCAGATTTTATTCTTTGCGGTTCG